TGAAGTCAAAGGGTAGTATAAAGTTTTGATTTGCAACAAAATCTGAGATTATCCATTAACCACTCTAGCAGGCCTTCTACTGCCTTTCAAATGTACATCTAATTTTTAAAGGGACCAGGCTCTTTTCTTTGTGTTTACCTTTCAAAAAGTATATTTAAGTAGAATGGTCTTTTAGAGTTACGGAGTAGCTTTTCAGATGTTGAAAGGATATATTCTTAGAAAAACTGCATGCAAATGAGAGGCAACAAGCTGAAACTGCTTGCAAATGAGAGGCAACAAGCTGAAACTGCTAATCTCAGGAGTGAACAGCAAGTGAGAAGTACTCTGAATGCAGCATCTCTGTTGGGAAGTAGGAAGCTGCAGAAATCATTCTGAATTCCACAACCCCTGAAAATACTGTGTAGCATTTACTATCCCATTTTTGAATGTACTGCGTAAATGTAAATGATACGGGTCCCCTGTCCTCGCCAAGAGTTTATTCTCAGACACAGAAGGAGTGCACGTGACTACCTGTTGCCCACCTTCTTTTCAGCTTGATGGTATGGATCTGAAGAGGAGGGCAGAGGATCAGGGAATCAAATGCTCACAGACAAGGACAGATGATGACTGCTGTCTGGAATCTGTTAATCTCCCAAAGGGCGTAGTAACTGCAACAACAGCGGATGATAAATATTGTCGTTTTGTTTTGTTTTTCCTCCATCCTGCAAAGGCAGTTGTAGTTTCATTAGTCCCATAGCCTGCAGTGCTCTATTGGGCCCGGACCGGGGCACAAACCCGGGTCCCCTGCATCGGCAGGCGGACTCTCAACCACTGCGCCACCAGGGAAGCCCTCCCTTCTTTCTTAACTACTATACACCCCCAAAGATGTATAGTTTAAATTGTATATACCAAAGTTTTATCATGTTTTTATGTAATAAGTTACATAAAAGATATTAAACAAAAACCACCCATCCCCTTAAAAAGTTGTGTGTGTGGAAGGACAGTGAGGCTAATGACCATCATGGCATGGCCAAATAACACAATCTTAGAAAACAGAACTATAAGTAATTATTAGACTTTTTTTTTTTTTGGCTGCACCGTGTGGCTTGTGGGATCTTAGTTCCCTGACCAGGGATTGAACCCGGGCCCTCGGCAGTGAAAGTGCCGAGTCCTAACCACTGGACTGCCAGGGAATTCCCTAATTATTGGACCTTTTGGACCAGTGACCTCCTTGTTTTGCAGATGCGTAGCATCACTGGATTTCAGGGGCTTCCGTAAAGTGAGTTGGGATGCCCTTCTGTTGGGCCATCTTCTGTTGTGAAACCATTTGTCAAGGAGAAGCTTGAGTTTCTAACGCACTTACGTCAGCTGTATTGGACCTGGTTTTGTACTATGGCCACCCCAAACTGAGCTTCCTTCATGGTTGACTCTCTGACAGCCAGAGGACTCAGCCTGGGATCTCAGTGGAAGAACACTGTCTGATGTCTCCAAATGTCTGGTCCTGAGGCTCCCTGTAGGGAAGAGGTAGAGAGGGGAGAAGCCAGGGCTAGGCCGATCCAGCAGGAGGGTCACTTTCTTAGGCTGCTGCCCTCGACCTCTCAAAAACGGCTCTGCCTCTGGGCTCTAGTGAGGGGGGAGGAACTTCTCTCTTCATGTGGCTGGTCAGAAACATGTCATCTGTAGAGAGAGGCTGAATCACCATTTACTTGAAGTGGGGATGGTTAGGAGGAAGGGGGTAAACTGTGAGCTAGTGTGTCTTTCTTTCACCCGTGGATAAAGAATGCGCAGATATTATGGGATTTAAGTTCTTGGTTATTTTTGGATAACAAAACAATAAATAGGGTTTCACACAATCCAAAAATGGCTTCTGTGGTTAGCGAAAGTTGTTTGAATGATGGAAAATGTTTCAGGAGCAGGGAGCGTTCAAGCTGTCAGTCAGCAAGGCTCTGGTAATCCCTGAAAGGTGTGCAGCCCTGGAGTAAACACATGTTTAGAATAGAAACAAAAGACTAATTCCCTAAAGGCACTTACACATTTGGATAAAGTCCACTTTAAACCACTGCCATACAAAATGGCGTTATCCCCTGTGTAGATAGTGGCTTCTAATATAAGCTTTGCGTCGGTTTAAATAAGTTAGGTTAAATACGGAAACATCTGTTCCACATTTTCATGTCCCTTTCCATGTGACTCTTTATGGGAAGTAATCAGTTTTGCCCAGCGTTCATGCATTCTGCTAAACTAAAATGTGTGCCAGTCTCCAGAGAGATGGGCAGGGATTCGTAGAATAGTTGGTGGCAGTCATGGGAGGCCCAGGCTGCAAGTAGAACATGCCAGCTTTCCTGGGTGCTACTCCCTCATCAAGAAAGGCTCTCTAAGATCCAGAGATGCAGCAGCCCCCGATTCCATTCTCCAGTCACCCAGATTCCCTTACTTCCTGACAAAAATCCAAAAAACAAAATAAACCTCAACTTTATTTTGCAAATTTTGGCTGAGGGTGGGGAAGGAGGTATAAGAAGCTGTAGTTCTTGCTTTACTTAAACAATGACAACAATAATAAAATTCAATGAAATAATGCCCCTTATAGCTGAAGAAGTAAGTTTCCACTTAAGTGTAATTTGAATTTACCAAATTTACCTTATTTCAAGAGACCCAAAACATTTCACCTCATTATTTCTTTTAAGGATTACAAAGTGTAGAGCAGGGGGCAAAAATAAACGACTAATAAAGGATAATAGCAATTTGGCAGGCAGGTGTTCTTAGTTTCATCAAAAGAATGACTAGCATATTCAGTCTTATTTGAATACTAAAGAACGTCTTAAAAAGTTATTCTAGATCCTTTGGGTGTTTCCTAAAGTAGATTAATACATCAGAGTCCGGATTCAAATTCCAAATAAAGCTGATGAATACACATAATTATTATCTCACCTGCCTTAGATCAGGTTATTCATTTTCTTCAGAATTGAGCTGGAATCCATCTCTGATAAGGACTTGGAGGAATTAGCCAGTTTGAGGTCACTTTTATCAATAGCTGTTTTATCTTTGTGACCATAAGTGAATTTCTTAGACCAGCACTGTCCAGTAGAAATATAATGCAAGCCACATAAGTAATTTAAAATTTTCTACTAACCACATTTTTAAAAGTTAAAAAAAAAATGAAATTAGTTTCATAATATATTTTATTTAGCCAATATAGCCAAACTGTTATTCTAACATGGAATCAGTATTTTAAAATTATTGAGATATTTTTTGTGTTTTTTTTTCCCACTAAGTTTTCTAAAATTTTTTTTTTGCGTTTTACACTTAAAGCACATCTCAGTTCAAACTAACCACATTTCAAGTGCTGGATAGCCCACACGTGGCTAGCACCTACTGTACTGGACAGCACAGTGCTGACATGGTGAGGCTCCGCAGCAAAGTAGGGAGGCTTTGTTGGTCAAACCAGGAGTTTGAGCTTTACCCTGAAGGCTGTGGGATCATAGCAGAGCAGTGTTATTTTTAATTTGGAACTTAATCAGGTGGTCTCAGAGAATGCAGGTTAGAGATTCAGGAGTTGGGGGCTGTAGCATGAAGCACGTTAAAGGCTGTTGTAGGGGTCCAGGTGAGGAGTGATAACCCAGACTCAAACACTGGGGGGGACATGGACCAAAGGAAGAGTGTCTGAGAGATTTAGGAGGTAAAATCATCAGAACTGGGTGGTGACTGCTGGATCTGAAGGGAGGGAGGGGATAATCTAGGATGGTTGTCCAGTTTCTAAACCTGGGTAGCTGGGCCAGCAGTAGTGGTGGTAACTGAAACGGAGGGAGGCAGGCTGTGAGGGGGTGAGTGCGGCAGGGTACCAGCTGGGCCATCGCGCTTTCCGGCAAATTTGCTTTGCAGGCTTTCAGAATTCAGGCCAGCGTTTGGTGTAGGGGACAGTGAGTCTGTTTGAAACAACTGTTTGTTATGATAGCTCAGTGATTTCAGAGAAAGCAGTGGGAGTACAGACATGCTTTTTCTCCTTGCTGTGAGCACAGATAGGTGATCACTGAGAAAGTGGAAGCGCTGAGCAAGAGGTGGAAAGCGTGGAACTTAGGGGCCATGGGAGCAAAGCTTGTGTTAGGCAGTGGGTGCTGAGCCGCAGGTTTTGTCACCCATTATAACACCTGCTAGTCACACTCCTTTTAAAACATTGTTGGGTTGTAGATTTGCAGTCACTATTCTAAGTAGACTGTAAATTGAGGGAAAAGGTCTTTAAAAAAAAAAAAAAGGCTAAAATTAATATCACTATTAACTGTGTGTCAGGCACTAAGTTCTTTACAGAGATATTTAATCCTCACAAACACCCTCTTGAAGTACTGTTGCTGTCTCCAGTTTACAGACAAGGAGACTGAGGCCCTAGAGATTAACAACTTACCCAAGGTCACAAGGCTAGCAAGGAATGGAACCAGGACTTAAATGCAAACATTCTCTCTCCAGGCCTTTCTTCTTTCTGTTAAACTGACTCTATTTTTATCTGTTCTAATGCCACACAAATAGGCAAATCCTCAGGCAGAGAACCTTATGCTTTTATCCTGTAAGCTCCAGTATAACTTATTTCAGTTTGGTTCAGGTCCTCCTAGAAGAGAGGAAACTCCAGAATTGAGCCTTAAACTACCTTTCAGGGGAGCAGATGATGGGTGGATCCTCGGGTGACCTTGTGAGAACAAGGTGGCACGGTGTGTTCAAAGGTCTCTTTCTTTAGCTCATGGCCCAGTGGTAACTGATAAAGGGTGTGCTGGTTACTTTTTATTAAAAATTTTTTTAAACCCTCTTATAAAAATTCTTATTTATAAACAAGCTAAACCATGTTAGCTTTTCTTCATGTGTTCTCATGAAAAATTTTATAAATTTTTTTTTACAGAACAAATTTTATAAATATTTGAATTTGGAAGGGGATGAGAGTCCATAACATGGTAGAGACACAAAGGCATTTGTACAGAGCTTCAAAACTTGTCCAGTTTTCCTACCATATTCAGTGTGGCTTCTTTCTCTTTGGTCTACAGATGAAACATGTGAATGAAAGGTTTCAAGATGAGAAAAATAAAGAGGTGGTTCTCATGTGCATCGGCATCACTTCAGGAGTTGGACGGCTGCTCTTCGGCCGGATCGCAGATTATGTGCCTGGTGTGAAGAAAGTTTATCTACAGGTACTTTCTTAATAAGCCTTTTTTCCTCCAGCAAATTTATCCTTACCACCTAATGGCTCATTATATGTACTTATTTGCTTAAATTCTTCTGTAAAAATGAGAAATACTTTCTAGAACCGAACTTTTACAAGCAGTTTTTCAAGGGCAAAATCAGTTATGAGTTTTGGGTTTTCAACATGAGAAATTGGCGAACAAACAACAATCTTTGTCTTGTCGTGGAACTCCACCAAACCAAAATGGTGTTTGCCCATTGTTTTTTCTAAGAATGATTTATTTTTGGCATAGTTCTCATAGTCACGTGCCTTTTGCAATACGCTGTGAAATTCAGGGGTGTGCGTGTCTTCTGAGTTTCTTTACTGCAGATCGCCTCCTGGGTATTGTGGGGTGTGCTATTCCAAGATCACGTCGACACTTATTTGACAAGTATTTAAGTGACTCCTCCGTGCCAGACGCTGTGCTAAACGGTACAGCTGAAGCATGGTCTGTGTGCTCAGTAGTTAATGGTCTCCGGGGAAGAAAGATAAAGCAGTGCTGCAGCACAGTGGAATAATGGTATGCTAGATGGGTGCCATAGAAACATAGGCACAGAGCATCTAAATCACTAGAGGAGGGTTGAGCAGGCTTCCTGGGCTGGTGGAGTGTTAAGCGGTGAGCAATAGTTAAATAGATAAGGAAGAGAGAAAAGGGTGTTTGTTGCAAGCAGAGGAAGCCACATGGGCAAAGAGATGTTAGGTCTGGGAAACAATGTTTGAATGGACTAAAGAGAGAATAGTAGATTGATTGGCTGAGGGATAGGCAGGAGTCAAGTTGGGAACGGCCTTTATGAGCACAGGAGAGGCCGAACTCTATCCTGAAATCTACCAGGAGCCATTAAGGATTTTAAGCAAGGGAGTGACATGACATGAGTTGTTTTTTTTTTTTGGTGGTACACGGGCCTCTCACTGTTGTGGCCTCTCCCCTTGCGGAGCACAGGCTCCAGACGCTCAGGCTCAGTGGCCATGGCTCACGGGCCCAGCCGCTCTGCGGCATGTGGGATCTTCCCGGACCGGGGCATGAACCCGTGTCCCCTGCATCGGCAGGTGGACTCTCAACCACTGCGCCACCAGGGAAGCCCTACGTGAGTTGTATTTTATAAAGCTTAACCTAGTGACTGTGAAGGGTGGAATACAGAGGAGGAAGGGCAAGAGTTCAGACAGTCACAAAAGGCCACATATCATGTGGTTCCCTTTATATGAAGTGTCCAGAATAGGCGGATCCTGAGACAGAGAGTGCAGCCTAGTGGTTGCTAGTGGCTGGGGGAAGGAGGGTATGGGGAGTGACTGCTCCTGGGTATGGGGTTTCTTTTGGGGTGTTGTAAATATCCTAAAACTAGGCAGTAGTGATGGTTGTACAATCTTGTTAAACTAAAACCCGCGGTGAATTGTGCACTTTAAATGCGTGGGTGAATTCTTTGGTATGTGAATTTATATTTCAATAAAGCTATTGTTATTATTTATTTTAAAAAGTGGAGGCACAGGGACTAGTTGGAGAATATTGAAATAGTCTAGGCAGGAGGAACCAGGGCAGAGATGTTGGGATCAAACAGGGAGTAAAACAGGGATACAGGAAATGAGAATTCAGTGGAGCTGCCTAAGCTGGGCCTGAGATTTGTGGCTCAGGTAACAGTGGAAGGTTTTGCTGTTTTATCAAGATCAGTAATTCAGTAGAACAGAGTAAGAGGATGAGTTTGTTTTTGCCATGTTAAGTTTGTAGTGCTTGTGGGAAAGCCAAGTTGAGTTTGGAGCTCGTGGGAGAGCGTGGCTGAGAGACCTGTGGGACTTCGGCATTCATGGGCTTGTATGGGGTGAGTAGAGCGTGTGCAGGGGACACTGAAAGGGAGTGGCCAGCCTGGTAGGAAAAAAGCGAGGCACATAGTGTTTCCAGGGGCAGGAGTGGTCAGCAGTGTCAGTAACTAGTGAGAGGGCAGGCACGTTAAAGACTAATAGGTTTTCACTGGATTTAGCAACAGAGGGGAGTTTCAGTGGAGTGGCAGGTGCAAAAGACTGATCACGATCAGCTGATTAAATGGAAATACAGGCAACTTTGTCAAGGGCTTGGCTGTGGAAGGAAGGTAAAGGAGAGACAAAATGGGGGCTTGGGACTGGGGATTGCGCACGTCCGTTCACTGTAGAGATGAGGGGCAGTATCTGAGCAGGGCCTTGAAGGAAAGGTAGAACTTGGGCGAAGGACATGGTTGGAAAAGATATTTATTACAGATAAATTGCCTTTAATTGATTTGAAATAATAGCCATCCCCATTTACTGAGCACTTCCGTGTGCCAGACGATGAACTGAATGCTGTACGTACATTATCTTCTTTCCTCCTTGCCCAGCCCTTTGAGGAAGGTACCGTCGCTGTTTCCACTTAGGGATGCCAACACGGAAGAACAGGGAAGCTACCTCACTGTGGGTGTTTGTGTATAGGGCCAGGCAGAGAGCTGCAGGAAGGAGTCTGGTCACACGGCTAGAAGGAAGTGCAGACAGCTAGTAGAGTGCTACTTTTTAAAATATTCACTGTGTTAGGATCATTCCCCCTTTTATTAATACCCAACTGCGGATATCCCTGTTGAACACTTAGCAGAACATTGTCTTGTTCTCAAGTGTCAAGGGAGCCCTCTAATGGAAATTGGTTGTATTACAGACTTTTGGCTTCCTTTCATTTATTAAAATAAAAAAGGAGTGCCCATTGTGCCCCAAGCACCAGCCCAGACCCTGGTAGGGGTGATACAAACAAGACAGACGTGGTCCCTGAGTTCCTGGAGCAAGACTTGAGGCAGGAGGAAGCTGGGAGTGAATGGGAACTCAAGAAGACAGGGAGAGTGGCCTGGGAAGAGGTTGGGAAGAGGAGGGCCCAGATTAAACAGGGCCTTGAAATCCCTGATGCAGACATTTTACTCGAAGCATAGTAGGTCTTTGTTGGGGAATGACGGGATTTTACGTTTTAGTCGCTGTGGTCGCTCTGTGTGTGGAGGCTGTATTACTGGGAGGGAAGCAGGAGTGCTGGAGGGAGGGAGACCAGTTAGGAGGCCAATACAGTGTCCCGGGTTGAGGCGATTGGGGCCCAGACTAAGGTGCTGTGATGGATGAAGTCATGGTATGTTTTATACATCAGCACTTTACTCTGGAACAACTATAACTTTAGAAAGTTTCCCCCTACAGGCAGGGCAGTCGGGTCACTTACAACATATTGGGGGCACATACGTTAGTATTTCATGTGATTTATGAAAGAAAATATAGCCTTTCCTAGCTTGTCCCATGTTTGGTCTGCAGTTACACGGCAGTGCGTTAAGAATCAGTAATTTCGTTTTGGATGAAAGGTTAGTCACAGCCTGGCTTCTTTTAGGTCGCATCTGATTTTTTTCATCCAAATGTGCAGTGTGTGTAGCACCTGGTAGTGCGGGCTGAGTCACAGGCGAGATGACTGCGGTCCAGCCCGAGGAGGCCCGTGGAGGAGAAAGGCAGCCTTCGGTGTGTCCTGTGCTGCTGGGAGCCACTGACAGCACAGGGGCCAACGCAGGCCTACCCCACACAGGCGGCTGGGCTCACCACCCCGCTCTGTCCCTTCTTTTTCCTGGCTTCCCTGCCCCAACTCCCAAACATTCAGTGTGGGTTTTGATTCTTGGCTCTTTCTTCTCTGCTGCGACCAACTCCAGCTCTGCCTGTTTGCTTATTCTTCCTCCTCTCCCTGTCTCCCTGCCTGGCTGTCCGCCCTTTGGCGGCCTTTAAGGGTTGGAAGGCTTCTGCTGCTTATCTTCCTCTCCTGCCTTTTGTTGGTGCTGTGTTTTCTCAGACGTGTCTGCTCCTCGCTTTCGTCTGTTACAGCTCAGCCTGGTGGGGCCACGGCAGTTCCCCTCCCTCTCTGTCCCCATCACACGGGTTCTGAGTAGCCTCCGGGCCCAGAACACACTTCACAGCCTCCCACATGTTCTACTTTTGGGGCACAGTCATCTTGGGTTTGGGAGGCCGCAGAGTAGAAAAGCACAGGCTCTGGAGTGTGATATGACTTGTCTCTAGATCCGGCAGAGGGCTGTGTGAGGACTCATGGTGACAGCTTGCTTGCTTATTTATTTATATAAATTTATTCATTTTATTTTATTTATTTTTGGCTGTTGGGTCTTCGTTGCTGTACACAGGCTTTCTCTAGTTGCGGCGAGTGGGGGCTACTCTTCGTTGTGGTGCACAGGCTTCTCATTGCGGTGGCTTCTCTTGTTGCGGAGCACGGGCTCTAGGCACACGGGCTTCAGTAGTTGTGGCTTGCGGGCTCAGTAAGTGTGGCTCGCGGGCTCAGTAGGTGTGGCTCACGGGCTCTAGAGCGCAGGCTCGGTAGTTGTGGCACACAGGCTTAGTTGCTCCACGGCATGTGGGATCTTCCCGGACCAGGGCTCGAACCCGTATCCCCTGTGCTGGCAGGCAGATTCTTAACCACTGTGCCACCAGGGAAGTCCCGGTGACAGCTTATTTAAAGTGCCGGCCCAGAGTGGATCATTAATAGATCCTTGCTTTTATTGTTTTAGTATTCTATTAAATACTGAGGCAGATCCTGGTTTGGAACAGGTATCAAGGAGACCTTGGTTATCCTGATTTGGGGATCTTTGCTTATAGGTAACAGAGTTTAGGAATATATCTTACACTTCTGCTTAAGAGTTCTGAATTTAAACTTCCATCAGGGTCCTGGGTTCCAGGTATTTTCAGCCTAACAATTCTAAATGCCAAGCAAAGAGATGACCGAACTGCATTAATGATGAATAATGATGGTTAAAGAAAATCTTTGCAAGGGTTCCTGGAGTACTTTATTAGGAGAGGAAAGGCTATGTCCTGGTATCTTCTCAGCCATCTTTCTTAACTTCACAGACCTGTTTTTCTAGTCACCATTAAATTACTGCAGATTTATTTGTGTGTTTAATATGTAACTGTTGTAAAAGTGTGAAAGTGTTTTTCAAAGGTTTGGAAGTTGTAACTCTA